GAAAGATTTTGCAGGAGAAGCCATCTGGTTCAAATAATTTCTTGGAGGCAATTCTCTGAGTCTTTTCTCAGTGTCTTTCATATTAACTATTCTATTTCAGGTTACTAGTTTTCTGGAGTCAGTTTTGGCAATGCATCCATGTTACTGAGATTTTGAAGTATCCATTTCACCAAGATTTAAAAATTTATTAACATAAAACCTCATATAGTATTTTTAAATAATAATTCTTTTTCTTACTGTCTATACATCCCCTTTCTGTTTGTGATTTTTTTCATGTTTTCCTTTACTTTTTTTAATCTGGAATTTTTTTTAAGGTTTTTATTTGAGCACAGTTTTACATTTACAGAAAAATTATGAAGTTGATACAGAGATTTCCTCCCTGAGTAACAATTCCTCAAATGAGTATTTGTTCTACCTTTTCTCTATGTGACCACTACCATTATCAGTGGTTTGATCTCAGCCTTTAGTATTTGTCTCTTAGGCTATTCACACCCAGTATCCCTTATTATGAACATTTTACATTAGTATGGTAAGTTTGTTACAATCAGTGAACTAAAGCACAACTTTATTCAGATTTCCTTAATCTTTACTTAATAACCTTTTTCTTCCAGTATCCCATCCAAGATTCTACATTACATTTAGTGCTCATGTCTCCTTAGTCTATTCCTGGCTATGACACTTTCTCATACTTTCCTTGTTTTTGATAACCTTGACAGTTTTGAGGAGTTTGTTTCCAAATATGGCTTTATCGATATAATACATTCTTTTGTATGTGGTGTCATCATAGCAATGATGCCTTAATCATATTTTAATAGAAAATAAAATGATCTTAACTAATGAATCTGAAGAAGCTAGAGAAAACAATTATAAAGCAAATTCATTAGTTAAGATCATTTTATTTTCTATTAAAATATGATTAAGGCATCATTGCTATGAGTTTGTTTCCAAATATGGCTTTATCGATATAATACATTCTTTTGTATGTGGTGTCATCATTTTCATTATTCTCCACAGGTTGTTATTATATTTTTATTTCCTCATTGATCTAATGGTTATTTGAAATGTGATGGTGACTTCACTTTGTTTTCCAGAATTTTTATAAGCCCTATATTTTGAAAGCTAATTAATATAGAGTTTCATAATATTGTAGTCATGGTTTTGATATTTTAAAAAATAAATTTATTATGCATATTAAAGATATACAACATGATGTTATGAGATACATATGTATAGTAAAATGGTTACTATAGTGGAATAAATGAACATATCCATCATCTCACATGGTTATCCCACCCCCATTTCCCCATGGCAAGAGCACCCATAATTTATTCATTTAACAAAAATCCTGGTACAATAAACCATTATTAACTATAGTCCTTGTGTTGTACGCTAGATCTTTAGACTTGTTCATTTACATATCTGTAAATATCTGTATCCATAGACCTAGATCTTCTCATTTCCTCCTTCCTACCCTGCCCCAGGTAACCACTGCTTTATTCTCTATCTCTGTATATTTGATGTGAGCCTTGCACTCTGTGCCACCTCCTCCTCACAACCCTGGGCTTCTGCACAGGGGCATGTGAGAACTTCTGGTCTCCTCCATGCCACAGGCCAGCCACAGGGAATTGTGTGTGTGTGTGTGTGAGAACACCCCATACCCTGTCTCCCTGTAAACACGCTGCATTGCCATTACTTCTCTGAAGCTGTCGCGGGTGGTTGGGGAGCACTGTGCGCCTGTGTGGAGCCTTCCCGAGCGTTTCAGGTGTGCAGTGGGCAGAGCCCACTCTGCTCTGGGCTTCCTCATCCTCTTAAGGATTCCAGACTCTAGGATGGCACCTCCAGTGGATGTGTGCCAGGAAGCAGCCTCACACTGTGGCGCTTGCATCTACTCTAAACTCATCCCTTCTGATGCTCTTCTAGGTCCTCCTCCCTTATCTGGGATGGACTTTAATTTCTTCCCTAGGTGGCAGGAAACGACTTAAATCACATCCTGCAATTTTCCCCTTTCAGGGCTCTTATTAAAAACTCTGCTCAATCCTCAGAGCTTTGGCTCTTGATCTCTAAAGGGAGTTTTTTTTTTTTTTTCTTCTCACATAAATGTTTGTAGTGAGGAAAGGAATTAAAAATTTTCCTATTAATTGTTTATTTTGACATACTTTCAGGGTTAAAGTCACAAGAACAGTTCAAAGAATTCTCAAATACCCTTTATCTAGATTCTCCAAAAATTAACATTTTACCACATTTTCCTCTTTTCTCTCTCCCTTAATCTCCCTCTCCTCTCCTTCTCCCTCTCCCCACAAGGAGACACACACACACACACACACACACGTACCTATCAACCAAGAAACTAACATTTCTTGATTTCAGGAAGTGGTATAATACTATTATGCAATCTATAGGATTTATTGAGATTTTGACAATCCCCTCACTAATATCCTTTATAGCAGCAGTCCCCAACCTTTTTGGCACCGTGGACCTGTTTCATGGAAGAGAGTTTTTCCATGGACCAGGGTGGGGTGAGGGGAAGGATGGTTTTGGGATGATTCAAACACATTACATTTATCGTTCAATAAAACCTCTCTGCTAATGACAATCTGTATTTGCAGCTGCTCCCAGCACTAGCATCCCCGCCTCAGCTCCACCTCAGATCATCAGGAATCAGATTCTCATAAGGAGGGCACAACCTAGATCCCTTGCATGCGCAGTTTATAGTAGAGTCCGTGCTCCTACCTGATGCTGTAGCTGATCTGACAGGAGGTGGAGCTTATGTGGTGATGCAAACGATGGGGAACAGCTGTACATACAAATGAAGCCTCACTGGCTCACTCCTGCTGTGTGGCCTGGTTCCTAACAGGCCACAGACTGGTACTGATCTGCAGCCCGGGCGTTGGGGACTGCAGCTTTATAGCAAAAGAAAACCCCAGGTCATGCATTGTATTTAGTTGTCATATCTCTTTAGTCTTTCTTTGTATTTTATGACATTGGCATTTTTGAAAACTAGTAGGCCTGTTATTTTGTAGAATGTCCTCCAATTTGGGTTGGTTTGTTTCTACTTGATTCTCTAGAAGTGACAGTGTGTGCTTCTCAGTGCATCGTGTCAGGAAGTACACAGTATTGATTGTCCCTGGTGATGTTACCTTTGACCACATGGTTCAAATGGTGTCTGTCAGGTTTTTCCACGTGTATTTGAGAAGGAAAAAAAAAATATCCGTAGTAAACTTACTGTTTTTCCTTTTGGAAATAAGAAGTTATCTTGTGGGGAGATACTTTGAGGCTGTTATCCTGTTTTTCAAACTTCACCCACTAGTTTGATCATTCATTTGATCATTCATTGATTCTTATCTGAATCAATTTTTATTATGATGGTTACTGAATGATTATTTTCTAATTCCATCATTTTAATAGTAAGGAAGAAATTTCTAAAGGGAGACTTTTGGAATTCAGAAAGCATGTTTTTTTCCTCAGGGGTTAAGCTCTTGCAATCGAATGCCTGACTTTCAAAACTGCTGTCTTTTAAACTCAAAGCTGAGCTGCTATAGCTTAGCTTTGTTCTGTGTTGTACACCTCTCTCTGAGGCAAGGAACAGCACTGGGATGATGAACAAAAAGCCACATGGTCACTAGGGTAATTTAAACATGAGAGTAATTTAAACATAGAGAGGTTCCTAGGCTTAAAATCTTCAAATATCGTCTTGCTGTAATAGTTTTCAGTATTGTAAGTTTCTATATATTTGTGTCTTTATAGGTGTTTTAGTGTAAAATTGAGTGAAACTGTCATTAAAAAGAAATTATAGGATTGAAAATAAATATATTACCATTTCAAGAATATGCTATAGCTTAAACTGATAATAAAATGTTGCCAACTTGCTGACTTGCTGAGCCTGTTTTGATGAAATGAATATTATTTGAGATCCCTGATAATAGTGGTTGAACTAAAAGAAATTAAAGTTCAAGAAACTACTTTAAACATTTTTGTCATCTGAGTAGCTTATCCCCTGCCATTAATTTGCTTGGTTAACTCATCAAAGAATGTACAAAGACTAACATTGTAGTATCAATCTCAATTCATAATTCATTATTATGAATTCTAAATTAGGGAGCTGGAATTTATGAATTAGTTTTTAATATCGGAAGTTGTATGTTTTGAATTTGGTGATTGTGTGTTGGGGTGAACGTATCTTCTGCTTGTTTCCTTTGCCTGTATCACCTCAGAATGGGTGTTTGAACCAAGTTTGTTTTCATGAAGAAGTGGTAGATACTTTAATATCTTCAAGACTTGTCATATTTTCTGAAGCAAAACCATTTCTGTGCCACACACCTGGCAGATTCTCTCATGTTAAGGTATAGAGAAAAACTTAAAAAAAAGATATTGATGTTAGCAGTTTATTGCAAATATATAGTGTCTGAATTAGCTAATAGAAGAACATAAAAATAAATTATGTTGAAACAAAAAAAGTTGAAAACAAAGTCCTATTTTCTTTATGGCTATTATACCAAGAAAATAAATCACAAAAGAAGAAAGCTAACTCGCTAAGAGTCTCCCAAGTTATGTCTTTCAAACACATTCTTTTATCTTAATGACCGACCACATATTTGAAATCTGTACCTTAGGGATCTAAAAGAAAAAAGGAAACCACATTTACAGAGACTCAGTGTGTATGTCCTCTGTATTATGAATATTGAGATTTGGATACGATATCTCTGGAGAGTTAATGTGGTATTTTAGTATACCTTCGTACATCCTTTTTGTGCTTAAATTCTAGAGAAATGCTGTTTGATTGTTTTGACTTTTGTAGTTTGTTTGAGTGGCTCATGTATACAGAGATGATTGTCATTTCTACTTGGAAGTAACAATGATATTGTCTTATGAAAAATGTGTGTGTGGAAGGGATTGAGGAACATTGGAGAGAATATTAAATCTTCTCTTTTTTTTAAATAACTGTGTAGACAATTCCTTATTTATTTTGTGAGTATTGAACAAGTGACTTTTTGAATTAATAGATCCTTCTTGTTATGAGGATGAAGACACTGTTTTCTCAGTGTTTCACACTCAAGTCTTTCCCGAAGTATACGAGAACCAGATGGAGAATGTCAATCAAGGTATGTTTTAATTTGTGTGATAATACACATTGTCACAAGGGAATGCTAGCTGTATACAGATATATTCAGGAATGAAATGAGTTGATTTCAATTTTTCCAGAGGTAAGTGGAAGTAGGCAGGGTTCAAGATGGCACAAGATTGGTCATGAGTTGATCATTGTTGAATCTAGTTGTCGGGAGTTCATCATGCTGTTCTCTCTACTTTGGGATGTTTGAAATTTTGTATAATAAAGAATTTTTAAAAAGCTAGCTGCAAGTAATGAGAACCTGGTTTAAATTAAGAAAAATTTATGAAAATGATCTTGGCGGTAGACAGCTGTCTTTGTTTCCCAAGAGCATATGCTATCGTTAGTTATTGATAGGTTGGCTCAGTTTCATAAACCTAGAGAACTGACCAGCTGGGTCAGGTGCCTACCCCTGGCTCTACCAATGGTCAAACCCAGCACTGTTTGGGGTCACTATGGGAATATGGCAGTTATATTACTGCCAGACTAGAGAGGAGAAGTGGAAGTTTCTAGTGAGATGGTTCTGACCAGATAATTTAAGTTTTTTTGCCTACAATTTATTAGAAGTATATTTTAAAGAAACTCTATTATAAATGTAAACATGACTGCATTTAATTTGAGTTATTTTAATGTTTTATTGTTTGAGCATGTGAAACTTCAACTGAATGAATGTCATATTTCAACTAAAAAGACTATATACAACTTGAATTATGGGAAGAAGTCATATATTTTATATCTAATGTGGCCACTCACCAAAAAAGTAACTCATACTTTAGCTATTGGTTGTTGATTTAAAAAATAATATGTCATTGTTTAAAAAATAAAATCCTTGTTTTAAAGCATAGATTTACCTAGAAACTTGTATAACTTAAATTTGAGTAGAATATTTTTTTTACTCAAATCTATTTTTGTTTGGAAAGAATTTAAGTCCAGAGATCTTACTTTCTTCCTAGTTCTTTCCAGCTATTTTCATTAAAATTTATTCTTTAATGGTTAAATTTGTATTGGATATTTGATAACTAACTGTAAATATAACAACTGATAGCTCCCTTAATCCCTTTTTTATAGAGGTAGCCTCTCTTATGAAACAAAGGTAACATTTAAGTAAATCTTGTTTGGCTTGAGCCACTGACTGGTGTTTTTTTCCTTTTTGAATTTCAATGTGGCAATTTGTCCTATTTGTAGGGTGAACTCCATTTGTCATTTATAGAGGCTCTTCTTCTTTATGCTTATTTTTAGAGCTTTAATGAAGGGTTCACATGATCTTGTTTTGAAAACTTTAAGTATGACACAGTAAAAATAAGACATTTAATGAAGGGAATAAGAGTCCACAGTATTTTTCTTACTCTTGTTTTGAGCACTTGGGGTCTAAATATCCCTGAAGTTTACTCATAACTCTCATCAAAGGTTGAGCAAAGTGACAAAGTGAGGATGAGCTCCAGGGGTTTGTGCACATGAGATGTACAGCATCTAGGACACTTGACTCCAGATCCTGCTTAAAAGACAGGCTTGAACAGAAAGTTTATTGTTCAGAAAGAGTGATGGCAAATTAGTGGAATAGCAGGAAATGGCCTAGTCTCGAGGGAAATTTTTGTTTTATATAAAGACTAAAATAAAATACATATTTTTGTATCCCTATAACATCAGAGATTTCTTCTTTACATGTCTGACTTGCAGTTCTATTCATATTTCTCATCATTTCCAAGGAATCAACAGGAAGAAGTTTGATACATGATAATGAATAATACAAGAAGTTTTATGAGAATTTCATTGGAAGTTATGGTAGCACATTTATCTTTTTAAGCATAAATCTCCGTATATATTATGTTTCTGGATCTGGAATTTAGAAGTTCTTTTATGTGTGTTTTATTTCTTATATATTTTATTAATAGTGTATGTTTAAAGTGAATTTTTAGCATAATTGATAATTGTAATTATGAAACAATTTTGAACTTTTTTAATATTAGATTTTACCTATGATGTGGAAAGAAATGAGTCATTGATCAAGGCAGAAAAGAAATCTTTCTCAAATACAGAAAAGATTGAGCTCAGGGGTAAACACAACCAGGATTTTATTAAGCGAAACATTGAGGTATGTACTTAGAAATTCAGAAGCCAGAATTTCAGACTAAATGGTTTGCAGAAATGGCAATTATTGTGTTCAGTGTCTTTAAATACTTTTTTGACCATGATAAGTACATATGTAATTGAACCAGCATATATAACTGAAGGAAAAGTTTTATAAACCAATACTTCACTATTTTATGTTTTCTATTCCATTACATCCTATCCTATCCTATCCCTTTTTAAAAATGCTGGCTGTAATTAGCATTTATTTCACTGTCCAGAAATAGTCTGGACAGTGTCTGGTACCTGCAATTTGAAAAACATTTATTTAGATGATAGCTTTGGATAATGTTTCCCAGATTTCAAACTGCATATTAGTAAAATTGGTTTTTTAAAATAATGAGACTGATTTTATAGCTAGTGAGTTTAGAACTTAGAATGGAAAATGCTCCTGGCAGAGCAGCAGGGCTGGAGAAGCCGACTTGTCTACCCTTCACTGAACCTCCCGGCAGCTGGTCACTGGCTTTGATTAGCTCCTCCTTCAGGCACTCGTCCTTGGTCTTACAGGCTCTGCAGCCTGACTTGGTTTGTCTTCAAGATAGACTCAGACTAACCAAGGGCACGAGGGGTCCTGTATTAGACCAGAATGCTAGTTAATTAACTTACAACAAGAAATGTAGTGAGGTGGATGGAAGCTCATGGCAAACCACTTGAGCAACTAGTCACTAGAAAGCCACATTGGTGAATGTGAAGTATTGCCAAGAGAAGAGAGTTAAGTAAGTTTTCACAGTTCAAGTGTGATACTCCCCCCACAATTGGCATATCACTTCCAGGCAGACTGGATTCCTGGGGCAGCCTGCCACTGCCAGGACTGGCCTCTGGGATTCTTGATTCTTCTGTGCTTCATGTTTGTATGACCTTCTTCAGGAAACCTTTTCTGACGTGATCTGTCTCTGTTTTTGCACCGGCCTGTTGTATGTTGTTTATTGTTTAATTTTCCAAGAGCAGTGGAGTGTCCACCACATCCAAGTTCTTGCTGACACAGACAACAGATCCACTATAGATTTCCCTTTCCCCTTTTAGCAATAGTAACTGAATGTTTCTTTAACTTCCTTATATGACAGTCTTGAAATTTAAAAGCAGTTTCATTTAGTGGATAAGTGCCACAGAGAAAGTGACAAGAAGCTTCCTTCCAAATGTCTCAGGAAATGTGTTTTGCAAAAAATATAAAATAATATAAAGGAGATTTGAAAAGTGCTTGTTTTATTATTACTTTTTAATAAAATGATTGTTGGAATGGTTAGCAAGAGGGCCTGCTTATAGTGGGAATGTCTTTGCTTGGAGAATGGCCCTATATAAAAAATTTGGCATAAAATAAAAGTACCTAGCAAACATAAAACACCTAATCTCACAAATTTTACCTAAATATATCTGGACTGTGGAAGCCTCAGGTCCCATTTTAATTTTCCTGAACTATGAATTCCTTTGAGCATTTAATGTTTTCCATTAATAAATTCTGTAGTTGGCCAAGAATTCAAGAAACCCAGTGGTTATGATTGACAGCGAGAAGAAAAGGCTGGTTGAGCTTTTGAAGGACTTGGATGATCGAGGTTCGGGGATGTCCAGTTCCGAGGTATGTAAACGGTGACAGTCAGGGACCTCTCCACTTCTCAATTTTGATTTTTTTTTTTTTTTTTTAACGTTCATCACTAGGGTTTATTGAACAAATTATGCTGTCTATACAGTGAAATACTATACAACTTTCAAAAAGAATAAAGAAATTCTTTATGCAGAAAAACAGGAAAAGCTTCAAGTGGAAATGAGCAAGATACAGAGCAGTATGCAGAATATGCTGGTTTCCATGTCCTAACCCGAGAAGCTAAAAGTGAATGTGTGTATACGTATTTTTTAAAAATAGTGGTTTTAAGAAAAACTTTAAAAATATATTCTACGTTGGTCAAACCATGGATCTCTTTAACTTCATGTTTGTTATTGTTTTTTTTTTTTTAATTTTTTTTTTATTTTGGCATATTATGGGGGTACAGATTTTAAGGGACGAGACCCCATCTCTACCATAAAAATAGAAAGAAATTAATTGGCCAACTAATATATATAATATAAAAATCAGCCGGGCATGGTGGCTCGTGCCTGTAGTCCCAGCTACTCGGGAGGCTGAGGCAGTGGGATCGCTTAAGCCCAGGAGTTTGAGGTTGCTGTGAGCTAGGCTGACGCCACGGCACTCACTCTAGCCTAGGCAAGAAAGCGAGACTCTGTCTCAAAAAAAAAAAAAAAAAGAAAAGAAAAGGAAACAGAAACACATTCACAGGTCATCGGTTGACTAATCACTGGCTGAGGTTATTACTGTGATGACCAATGTGTAGTCACTCTTATGATGACATAAAATAATCCTTTGAAAATCAATAATGAATTGACCAAGAATACATTTGAAAACTTCAATAAAAATATGTAAAACAGGATTTTTTTAAGTCAGAGCATATTTTCTCATAATATGAAAATTTATTGTAATTTTGTGCTAATGGGTCAATAACATGATTCAAAAAATCAAAATTGGGGCGGCCATGCTAATTCAGATGCAGGAATGTGCAAGAAGATATTAAAGGCCATGGGAAGATGTGTGTGTGTACGAGATTTTTTTGTTCAACGAAATAACAAATCCGACGAGGACAGGAAGATCGGATACTGCATTGCAGAGAAAAGCGATTCGTAGCAGAAACTAAGAGGAAGAACAAGAAGACGGCATACAGCGGACAAGGCGCCGAAGGAGGGGTTACCTGAGGACCCGGGAGATCTCGACGAGGACAGGGAGCTGGCGAGCTTATCAGAAAAACTGAGGATAGGGATGGCAAGAGCCGACCGAGAAAGCAGCGAAGAACCAGCTCATGGCATTATATGAGGTACTTGGGTGGATATCTGCTGTATTACCACCATTTTCACCTTGACAAGTATACGGGGTAGACTTGTGGTGCGTGGTCGGTCTAGCAGCAAAAACAAGACCCAGCACGGATGGATTGCGTGCTAAAATGCGCATAGAGATCTGTAGGAGAACCAGACAGTGGCTCAAGAGAGAGAAGCGTTAGGATCGTCATTATGGAGGAGGATATGAATGGCAGCGTCATGAACCATGAATGGACATGGCTGGAAGTTTAATGAAATTTGGAACTATCAGGACATCAGAGAAACCTGACGCCAGGCTGCACGGCACA